TTTAAAAATTATTTTGAGTCCTGAGGCAGCTAGGTGACACATTAGATATGAGCACCAGCCTAGAGTCAGGAAGCCAGAGAGTCTATTCAGCCTCAAACACTTACTGTGGGACCTTGGGCAAGTCACTTAACCTCAACTGCCTCCAAAAAAAAAAAAAATTACTTTGAGTCTCGAATTAAGGCTTCCTTTGTATTTAATTCAATCTACCAATATGAACATTTCTGCACAAATGTCATAACAGATCCTTAAGGAGAACTGACTAAGTACAAGACTACCCATACATTCACACATAATTCACCCCTAAATGAGTAGGAAAAAACCAAGAATGTACTATAATTTGTTAACAATTTAAAAAAACCACTTCTTCCTGAACTCTTGGTGTGTTGTTATTTTATGTATTGTCCACGGACAAAAGTTCAATATAAGTGAGTAAAAGGAATTTCAAAACTCAGCATAAATTTCCCCAGTGCATAGTAATCTAAGGTGTCAAAATATATTAACTTTTTTTTTTAAATCAGAAGGATTGGAATTTACTCAACTCGGAGTTTTTCAAAACACCATAAGAAGTTAGGTAGGCATCCCAACATCTTTATTAATCTTTTTCAGAAAAAAACTTAGACATTCCTCTCTCGCATGCCAATAGCTCTGCCTAATTTTTTTTCAATTTCAGATGGCAGACTATCTCCTATATTATGATTTGAGACCCTCATTATCAGAGCTCAGTCTAAAAGGTATTTATATTCTATACCATTTCCTCATGATGCTAATAATCAGCAACTATAAATGCCCTGGGTGAAAACAATCCTCTAACATCATTCACAGAGATAGATTCTTAGGAAAATATACATGAATATTCAATTTTCTGTGAAATTTCCCAAAGGATTGCTGACCACTCCCATGAGGAAACAGGAAAGCTTAGATAATTGGACTGAGAGTATAAATAAGGCTTTTGGTGTTCACTCATCAGTCACTATAAATTTCTACTCAAATATAATTGTAGGCAAGCTTCCCAATGCTATACTGAAGTATGAACACTGCTATGTTAGAATACTGAAGTCTTATAGTAACCACAATATAAAATCGCTGCTTTCATTTGGTGCCAAGTCATATATACAATTATATTTTAACCAAAGCTTTGGGGAAAAAAAAACACAACACTTAATAGAGAATAGTAACCATTATTGCACAGCCTACTATACTGATTGAACTCCTTAGGATAAAAATATTGCAGAAACAAATAGCAAATATGTATGGCAATCATGTAAGAAAGATCTTTATTCTCTAATTGACATCAAAGGTTAATGGTAAATTTTTAATATAAGGATATGAAGGAGTAAAAGTGTTCATAGAATGCAAGATATTAGCTACACAGAATTAACTTCTCAAAAAACATAATCATAGAATCATAGATTTTGAGCAAAACCTTAGAAGTCATCAAATCTGACTCCTTCATTTTACACATAAGGCAACTGAGGCAGAGATGTGCAATGACTTACCTAAGGTAACAAAGTAATTCAAAGAAGCAAGACTTAAAGCCCAGCCTTCTGACTCCAAATCCAGTGCTCCTTCCACTGACTCACCCCTTTCCCCCCGACAAAATTATAGCTCCTCCCTCACTTGACTACCACAAAAAACTTGCCTGCTCCAAGGGAAGAAAAGTACCTTTTGACAAAATATACAGCTACAGTTCAAGAAACACTGCAGGTAAGACAATCCAAAAAGCCTGGGATATAAATGTATGTATATGTGGACATGGATATGTGTGTGTATAAATATACCCATATGTGTGTGTGTGTATATATGTATACACACATGAATATTTGAATATTTACACACATTTTAATAATCCTCTCATATCTCCTTGACCCCCAATTTAGAAACTATTGTTTTAAAGGGTTAAATTGTGTTAAAAGTATGGCTTTACATTGATACATTCAATTTAGTATTTAAATCATTAGAGATAAGAAAATTATCTTCTGTGAAATTTAGTCCAAAAGTTAGTAGAGTTTTATACACCTAATAAGCATTCCATAAATACTGAATATACTGATGAAGTATCTTCAGGAAGAGAATTTCATAGTATCTTAAGGCCAATGATGAGACAAGAGTACAAAACAAACTTTCTTGTAAACTCTCAAAGGCAGTAAGTACTATAAATGGCACTAATCATCCTACAGGAGAAATATCTTGAGATGACAGGAATATCCATTAAGTTAAATGGAATAAAAATCTATTTTCTGAAACAGAAGACCATTTAATCTTGCATAAGTAAGATAAAATTAAAATAGTTCCTGGGAACCCCATGTTTATACACAAAGCACACAGAATATTTAACACATGCCCCATGCTATATATGTGATGGTTGGGCAGTCCATTTATGCTTGGTGGCAACATTTTTCTTTCATAAAACATTAAATAAGAGAGTAATGAGAATATATACTAAAACATAATTCATAAAACCAAAGTTATTCCCTCTCCTCCCTATATTTCAAAATAAGGAATCAAGGCAATAACAGAGAAGTGAAATGAATACATTAAAGTAAAAATCATGAGGACAAATAATCCAAGTCCTATAGAGACAGTTGTCCATAGGCTCTCCATGGATGATCTTGACTACATTTACTAAAAAAAGCTTGAAGCTTCAAACAAATAGTCCCCAAAAGAACTGGCAGTTCTATGCTTCCTAGTTTTCAGGAAAAGCAACCCTTTCATGTTATCTAAATTAATCCTAAATTTTCACATTATCATTGTGATCACACCTATAAACCCAGATTGTTACAGTTTTAGACAATTATACAATTTTATACGATGTATCCTGATTTGAAATCTTAAGATAAAAGAACAATGGTTGTTATAGGGGGAAAAAAAAGGCAAACTATGTACTATGGCTAACCAAACTGAAGTCTCTTTCAGGTCTAAGAAAATCAAATGGCCTTTAAGTGCTCTTTGGACATTTTGGCTTATTACAAAGAGTGCTGCATTTAGAAGACCTGGGTGTTAGTCCCACGTCTGACACTTAACATTTATGTTTAACATAAACCTTCTGAATATCAGTTTCCTCATCTGTAAAAGTGAACTTAGTAACACTTGCACTACCTAGCTCCCAAAGTTGCTACTAGAAAGGTGCTTTGGTTTTCTCACAGCATTACATCATACTTTATACACTCCACAAACTGATCTGCTCTCGCTCCCCCTTTATGAGCTTTGTGCTCATCTTCTCACTTGCCAGCCTTCAATCACACTGTTCTCTACACAGGGATATTTCCTCTCCATTTCTTCACTTACTGAATTCCTATCCATCCTTTAAAGACCAGTTCAAATCCTCCATGAATCCTTTCCACCTGCTCTCCTGCCCTGGTCAATAAAGACATTCACCATCAAACTTCAAATAATTCTTTGTTTTGCAACTCTCTAATGCAATTGGCACATAATGTAGTACATTAACTATTTATGTTTGTAACTTATTCCCCCTGCTAAACTATAAGCTCCATGTGGGAAAGAACCATGGCTTACCTAAACTTGATATTTAAAGAATTTGGCAAAGAGCAAGTGTCTAATAAACATTGGTTGGATCAATTTTTAATACAAGTATAAAATTCTATAATCACAAACCAGTTGTTTCTACTATACCTAAAACTTTAGCTATTTAAAAGTTTAGAAACTAAGTACTACTTCATGGACATTGTGTCCTTTTTTTTAATCTTATGTAGATCAAAGGATCAAGGAGCTAATGCTAAAAAAAAAAAAATCACTTTAAATCCTGAGGAAGAAATATATTATGTAAATAAATTTTCAGGGCAAAAAGTTATTTTGGACTTAAAATTATAAGATGACCATTTCTTTCAATTAGTTTTAGCCAGTAATTCTACAGGTATTACAGAGACAAAGATAAAGCAAGGGGTTCAGAAGGGCAAGGTAATCTGATCTTTAAATCAAAAGAAACACAAATAGCCCAGAGTTCAGAGAAGTCTAGAACAAACACAACTAAAGCATTCAACTTTCTGGGCCATAGTAACAAACTTGTATTACACAGTACTATATGTTCTTGTGATCCAAGGTAAGGAAAACCTACTTTGTTTAATATGATCACCTAAAACTAAGCTATCAGTAACTTTCTTAGAAGTGTGACTCAGACAGTCAACTACCACTAAAAAGGTTTGAGAGACAGTATTAGAAGGTGAAATTCAATCAAGAATTAGCACAGATAAAAAAGATGCACTTCAAAGGGCTCTTACTCTTTACCCTAGGTAATTGCCCCCTTTTAAAAAAAAAAACAAACCTCTGTTATTCTGATGCTCTTTCTCAAAATAAAGTATGTGTAGGTACATCCTCTGAAATGTTTATGTTATTATTTCTTCCCAAAGAAATCTCATACTATAAGCCAGAACTGTCTTTACTGGTTCTACTTCATCCATGTGAGAAGATCCTATCAAGAAAGGTGGCTTGGTGAGTTCTGAGGCAGGTGTTTGACAAAGAAGCAATGGAGATAAGGGGAAAAAGAATTGGAATAGTTACTCCACCACCACCTCTGCTTCCCACGAATAAGTGGGTAAAAAGGAAGAAACCTAACAGGGTGCATTCTGGAAGTAATTTTACCCTCCCACAAGTGGTGGAATGAAAATAAAATTCTCCAAAGAAGAACTGGAATGCTATCCCATTACCCACTTCATCCCCATCCATCCTACCTCAGTTCTAGGAAAGAAGGGATTTTGACGTGACAAATTAACAACAGAATTAACCAAAATTTCCATGACAATATAACTCTATAAAATAACTCAAAATAGTAAACTGGTCTTAATGTCCCAAAAGATCTTCACAAAGTTACTGAATTTTTCTACATGCATCTGTACTTAGCAAAAGAGAAATACAACTAGACTTTCAATTCCTTTAAAATCCTAGAATAAAACCTTTCTTACAAAACAAACAAACAAACAAACAAAAAACCCTAACATACATTATTATGAAACAACATTAAAAACAAGCATAACAGAATAACTTACTTGGGTTGGAACAAGTACAGGAGGGTATGCCAACTTGTGATGTCTATACATCCAAAACGAAAGCAGCACGATTCCCGCAATTAGCATGATAGGTACCAATGAGTAAAGCAAGGTGCTGAACAAGGGTGGCTTGGGTGTAACTGGATTGGAAGTTGCTGTGGATAAAAAAAAAATAACATTCAAAGTTGATATACAAAACTCTATTAATATTTACTGAAGGCTCAAAAGCTGAGTAAGGAAAGAGAAGAAAAGTAGGAAAAAGGAATAAATCTAAATCTTACCTACCACTAACAAAATCATAAAAATGCTGAGTTTTAACTGGCTGGTTGATTAGACCTCCCCCACCTCTGCACCCCCCCACCCCACCCCCACTAACTTACGTATTGTGATCTCCATCTCCGGAAAATAGAAAAACCTTTCATTGCACATGTTGCCTTCACAGCAACAGAAATAGACTTCAGGGTTGTCCTTTTTTTCAACACAATCATTCCTATAAACAACCAGGAAAAAGAAAAAATTGAAATTGCAGAGTTCTGACTATTATAAACTATTAAAATGTTATTAAAATTGTCAGCATTAAAATAAATTAATGAACATTATATTTATGTTAAATTTAATATTTTTACTGTTTACAATTCATTGATTCATTTAGCAAAAATGACACAGCATCTTGTTTCTGGATCTTTTCTGATCTATCTTTAGTTCCTTAAAATTTGGTTTCTTGCTCCTTTAAATTGTTTTCTAATAATCATCATTAGGATAATCTAAATTTTTTATTTTCTTTTATTTTTTAAGTCAGAAAGTTGTGAGAATGTGTCCTCCTGCTTAGTAATACTAAAATCTTACTGAGATGCCTCGCTGTAGTATAGACATGATTCTGGATAATCAAGAAAGTGCAAACCTCTGATAGGTTTTATCAAATTGACATCCAGCAAAAAAAATTATACTCTAGTATCTTAACACTAGGCTAAGTTAAGAAAGGTTCATTACAAAGGTTGAATACTAGGCATTGGCACAACAAAACACAACAGTCTACCAAGATACTGAGGGACTGTAATATGAAGCTCGTGAAGGGAATAGCAACAACAGTGAAAAAATGGATCATTTGAAATCCTTGAGTATGGCAATGTGTAAGTATTCAGGATGTTCTAAGAATATTTTACTCTAAAGGATTATATGAAATAGAACTCCCCCACCTGTCAAGAAAAAAGCAGCATACTATCAATTCTACCATTCAAATTAATGAAGGTAACATTAGATTCCAAAACTCAGTTGTGTTTGGCTTTGGAATGCGCTCTGTCATTTTTACAGTAGCAAGTTTACATTCCCTAAACGCATGGGGCAGTGTTGGGGTAATAAACATGTAGATATCACTCAATTGTATAAAAACATAACTAAAGAAGCATTCTGCCTTTCTGAGAACTCCACACAAAAAAGAAGTAAATATGAAGTTATTAAAAGGTGTTTCATACACAAAGATAAAGCACATGGACTCCACAAAAATAAACCCAAGCAATAAAACAAAGCCAGGCTTTCAATATCAGATCTGCACACAACAAATACAAAATGTTAAAATTATTGAGTATTTCTTATTTATTTTAAATCAAAAGTTAGTTGAAAATTCATCAAATAAATTTAAGGTGTATTTTTTTTAAAATAACCTGGGATCTTCTTGTTGGAATAAGATGTTGAATTCGCAACTAGAAGTATATTCAGTCTAAAGCTCATATATTTTTAAAAGAAAATCTCAGTAAATTTTAGCAGAATTAAATTCTAATAAAAAATTAATACACATGGTCATCTATTTAGTAGATAGCAAAAGGTGAATACAGATTCAGTATTAATAACCACGTAAATTGTGTAATTATAACAAAATTTCCCCTTCAGTATTTATATAGTTGTCTCCAACTGCAATCAGCCAACCAATTTCTATGAAAATTACTTTTCCTCTATCTAAATTTATGCTTCGTTCTCTGGCTACTAATTTTTATGCATTTTGAGCCCTTTTCTTTCTTTTCTTGCTTTTTCCTATAGTCCTATTCATTTTTAACTTATTTAGAAAAGCTGATGCTTAGAAGTGGCAAAGCATAGTGACAGACAGCTAGCCTTTGAGACAGAAGACCTGGGTTCAAGTCCTTGCCACTGCCACACAGAAACTCTGTCGCCTTGGGCAAGGCAGTGGGTTCCCACAGTTAACACTCTAAGAAGCTTCTCAACAGGAGTTCCCTTACACCCAAGACATAACACTTCCTTAAAAAAAAAAAAAAACTTAAAAAACTAGAAAACTCAAAAATGTTCAACTTTAGGCACTGTGTCATTGAACTATTCACTGTAGATACTATGGTCAACTTTCAATGAGTGGTTTGAATTAGGTCTGACTTTTAACATGTCATAATTCTCTCAGTTTCACCAGAATTTCCAAAAGGGTCGTCCTTCAGGGGTGACCAACCAATCAAGAAGGCTAACAAATGGTGGTTTAAGCTTGTGCTTGAGACAGACATTCTACTTTGGGAAAGACCTAATTGTAAGGAAATTTTTCTTGACAAAAAACTCAAACTGGACATTTTGTACCTAAAACCCACTGCTTCTGATTCTCACCTCTGGGGCCAAGAACAAGTCTAATCAGTATTTGATATGCCAACCATTAAAATTTGTGAAGACAGTTACACTGTGTCTTCCTTTTCTTCTCCAAGTTAAATATCCCCAGGTCTTTTAACCAATTCCAGGATTAAATGGCCTAAAGGCCCTTCACCTTTCCCACTGACCTCTGGATACTCTCTCTAGCTCATCAATCTCACTGTTAAGCTTTGACTCTGAACCATACAGGAGGTCTAACAAGGATGGTGGTACAAGTGGGCTCTTCTTACCTCCCTATTCCTAGAAGATATGCCTCTCTTCATCAAGCCCAATGCTGCACTAGTGTTTTGGCGCCCATGGCATCCTTTTCACTTATACTGAGCTTACAATCCACTAAAACCCACAGATCTTTTTTCAGCACAACTACTGTCCTACCATATCTTCCTCATATTGTACTTGTGAAGTTTTTTTTTTTTAACCCAAACCTAAGACATTCATCCCTCTTGAATACTATCTTATTAAATAGATTCAGTCTGTTGCTCTAAGTCTGTCAAAGTCCTTTTGGATAATAACTCTGTCATCTTGTGTGTTTGCTATCCTTCCCAGCTTTGTCACCCGAAAATTTGATGAGAATACTATCCATGCCTTTATCCAAATGGCTGATAAAAAGATAAAATAGCACAGGGCCCAGCAAAGATTACTAGAGTACTATAATAGAGACATCCTGCCATGCTGATCACTGATATACAACAACCCTTTCAGTAAGGCCTTCCAAACACTTCAAAATTCATCTAATTGAATTGTCATCTAATCCAAATTCTTCCACCTTCTCCACAAAAATAGTATGAAATATTTTATACAAAGTTTTGCTGAAACATAGGTAACCTATATTCACATTACCATGTCTTTCTGATCTACTAGTTTAGAAATCCATCAAAAAAGAAAACGAGGGTAGTGCGGCATGACTTGTTCCTGATGAAGCCATGCTGGCTCTCTGTAAACACTGCTTTTCTCTTTAGATGTTCAGCAGGCAGGTCTTTAATGAGCTATTCTGGAATTTTCCCAGGAAGCAAAGTCAAGTTAACAAATATCTATTGTTTGCAGACACTGTTTTTTCCCCCTTTTTTGAAAACCAGGACATTTGCCCTTCTCCAATTTTGTGGTATGGCTCCCATTTTTCTGTGATCTTTCAAATTTCACTGACAGTGACTCCACAATCAAATCTGTCAGTTCTTTTATTATTCAAGATGTAATCCATCTAGCCCAGATGACCTGAATTCATCAAGGGAAGCTAGCTAGGTGCTTTCTTACTATATCCTTACTTATCTTGGGTATAAACTCCTTCCTAGTCATTTCCAGAGCAAGGGTCATTATCGCTGACAGAGAGAACAGAAGTAAAATATGAACCGAGCAGCTGTGCCCCGCCTCAGGAGTAAGTAATCATTATCCTGTCCATTCCCCCATTAAAGGTCCTCTCCCTCTTGGATGCTCTTTTCTCCCCTAATATAGACAAAACAACACAATCCTTTTGTTGTCCTTAGTTTCCCTCAGCTCATTTTTAGTTTTAGCCTTCCTGACACTGTTTTTACAGCACTATGCCACCTTATGTTTACTCTTTACTACCTGGCTTCGTTTCTATCTTTTATGTGTTTGTATTTAATTAAACCTGAGTTGGGGAGACCTCTTTGATTCCATAAAAGTCTCTTCAGGCTAATCCCATTTTTTCTCATTTGGAATCATATTCCTTTAAAAACAGCAAGGGGACCTGGCTTGGGATCCCACCACCACCACCACCACCACCACCACCACCACCACCACCACCACCATCACCACCATAGACACTTAAAGCCTCCTCTAAGCCTCACTTTTCTCATCTTAAGATGAGGGAGTCAGTGGTTTCAGAGGTCCCTTCTAGCTCCAGATCTTAAAGCAGTGGTGTCAAAATCGAATAGAAACATATCTGTTGGCAGCAGATTGAGTTTTAAAAAAAAAACACAAATTAACATTATCTATGTTACACTGTATTTTTATTTATTTTGTTTAAGATTTTCCAAAATACTGTAACCTGGTTCAGGAGCCCTGGGACAGAAGTTTGACACCTTTGCTCTAGATGTCTGGGAAACAGAAGTCTCAGATGACAGAGGCTCCAGGCCATGCTGATTTCTTCACACTATGCTTTTTTCACCAGCACCTAGCATAGTGTCCTGGATTATAGAAGACGTTTCAAAAATGCTTGCTGTCTTACTGATAACCCAACCCTACCCTTCAATCAGAAGACATTCAAAGATAAAAAGAAAGGCTTTTTACCAAAAGGGTAAGGACCTTAATCTGTACTTATGCATCAATGATAACATATGACTCGAAAACCTTCTGAAGCATTAGCTGTTTCTCAATAAACTTTAGAACTAATAAGAAGTAATGGATTTGTTCTATTCCATTTTGTTTTATTTTTAGTTCTATATTCCCCATCTATCCCAATGAGAAGGCAAAAAATACAAAACCCATTACAAATATGAAGACATGCAAAACAAATTTCCACATTAGCCATGTTCCAAAAATGGGAAGAAAAAAAGAAGAAAAAGAAAGAAAAACATATGTTTCAGTCTATACTATGAGTTCATATCTCCCTTCTAACAAGGCCATGTGGTCAAAAAGAAATAAATAGGTGAAAAATGAAGTCTGTCTAATTTACAGACTATGTAATTTTCCTATGAATGTAAAGTAGAACACACACCTTTTGGACAGAGCTGTTCAAATATATCTATCACCCATTAATGACATATGGCTAAATTCTGATCTGTGGTGGATTAATGATGATCTTAACAGGAATTAGTTAGTACTGAAGTCATATGATGAAGCAAGTGCTTTTTAGTTCTGAAATATATGGTAACTGAGAACTGTCATTTTTTTGTTTTTGTTTTCTTTTCACTAGATCCTCCAATCTCTTTACCATCGCCCTCATAAAAATCTGACTAACCAATAAGCACAAAACACCTGTGGAAATCTCACTATAATATCTCACCTTTAGTCAGAAACCCAACCACAACATCACCCTACTCCAAAATGAAACATTTAAAAGAAGTTCATTTAATGAAATGGCTTTTTAAACAGGGATGGTTTTCTAATGTAATTTTTAATGTTAAGTTAAAATATCTCTTGGGAAAGAAAACAAAGGACTCTCCTAAAAGAATAAAATAGAGTAAGATCAGCTACTTCCAGATATTTAAGGAATGAAACAAAAAAAAATAAACGAAAGAATAAGATTTCTAATGCCTTTCTCTACATATAAACTGGGCAAAGAAACCCTTAAAGCAATTAGAAAATCTGTTTTCCTTGAAAATGGACAAAAATCATCTAATTATCCTGACAATTTTGGGGGAAGTGGTTCTATGTATAGGTATTACACTTGCTACCTAGATGCTTATTTAAAACATACTGAAGATGTAACCTGTTTGTTCCTTTTTAAAAATATAATTGCTAATTTTATCCAAAAACAGGAATAAATATTATAGAAATATAGCAACTTGTTAAAATCCTTTGTTTTGGTATTCCTTTGTAACAATTACTCAATAAAAAGGTTTGCAGAGCTTCACATAATATAAGACTTGTGCTTACTTACCTGTCATAACAGTTAATATCATCTAACCAACAACCTTGCTTTACTATTTCAATTGAGCCAGAAATATTTTTCCAAGTTGCAAAGCAGTGTCGTCTTTTATCTTTGTCACCATAACAAGGTTCAACACCAGTACGATTCGTTCTATCTTTTTCCCAATTAGCATTATAGAAGATGCACTCCTGTGTTTCTGATCTGCCAAGTATAGCACCTGTCAAATTAAAAAAAAAATTTAACTGTTAGCATCAAAAATTAGTATTTTATTTAAAATAAGTATTCAAAGTCTTCTTATGCATGTTTTAAGATATGTAAGATCATTTCCTACTTCCTACTCCCATCCTTTTTCCTACTTCTATTCTTTAGTCAGCATACACACAAAATCACTACCAATTCAAACAAGTGGATAGAGGAGAATAATCAGGTTGTCTATTTCTTATTCTGCTTTTAACTTCTCTTCTTCACCTTGGATCTCTTCATGAACTCCATTCTGATTGAGGATTCTGGGACACTAAAAAAAAAATAACCATTTGTTGTTTAGTTGTTTCAGTCGTGTCTGACTCGTCATAACCCCATTTAGGGTTTTCTTGGCAAAGATACTAGAGTGGTTCACCATTCCTTCTCCAGCTCATTTTACAGATGAAGAAAATAAGACAAATAGGGTTAACAGACTTGCCCAGGGCAACACAGCTAATAAAATACTTAAACCATGTAGCCTCAGTTACTCAGGTGTTTGGCTTTTTTTAGGGGATTGGCTGGTTTTAGACAAAAAGGACCCAATACCACAGTTGGTATGAGTGTTGGAAAGGGCACTTTAGATGAAGTCAAGAATACCTGAGACCAAAATTCTGGTTCTACACTGACTTTTTAATGTAACCCTAGTTATGTCACTTCCCCCTCTGTGTTCTTCACTCTTTCATTATCTGTAAATTTGGGAAGTTTATTAACTAAATGATCTCTAAAGTCCTTTCCAGTTCCAAAAGTGCCGTGATTCCAATGACCTCACAATAACTTCTGAGAAATTTAAAGTTCATACTCCTCAAAATAATTCTAAGAACATTAATGATAGCAAAAAGTAAGAGCAAAGGGAGCTCAGTCAATGCTGCTACATTGATTCAAGGAAGAAGGGTTTAAAAAGTTGTATTTTTTTTTAAGTCTTCAGCTTTGCATCATTGAAATGTCAATATGAACAGAGATTTATATTGTATTAGCCACAATAGGTAAGGAGATAACACTTGCCAGATGAAAGGCATGCATGAGTGGAAAATAACTGTGTTATGTCACCTCTTCTCCTTTATATAGGGTCTAGATATATGATTCTTAGGGCAACTAGTGGTTGGCATAATTGAAATAATTCTCAGTGGATCTCCAGTTTACTTGGAGTAAGAAAGTCAACCCATTCCATTCTGCTAGAGGGTTACCATGAAATAACTTACACAAATAACTTAAAACCATGGATGATAACATTATGACTATACCTCTACACTTAAATGGCTGAATTTATTATTATTAATCAGCACAGAAATAATACCCTCTTTAAAAGTAAAAGATCTTTTTTTATGAGCTTGGGAGAAGGGGAGGAAGGATCAATATGAAAGGGCGGGAAATTTCAATAGCCTGGTTACTGCCAGTGGGCTCATCTAATAGTAGTCAAGCAACCAACTTATATTGCACTGTTACCTAGAAGCATACTTTTTTCACTTACTTTATTTTCCTTGCTTTTTTTGCAATGTAGCTAATATAGAAATATGTTCTGTGTGACTTCATGCATGTAGAATTGATATCATATTACTTGCCTTCTCAATGAGTGAGGGAGGGGCCAGAGAGAGAGAGAATTTAGAATTCTTAAAAAAATTAATGCTAAAATAAAGTATAATTTTTTAAAGAAAGTAGCAGTTCTCAGACTCTGTGGTCTCAAAACCCTTTTGCTTTTGAAAAAAATTGTTTTGTTTAAAATTGTATTGATGTTTCTTATTTTTATATTAGAAACATTTATAGATTATTCCTAATTCCTAAGGGTTCTCTTGTACAGTGTCCCTTACATTCTTAAAATTGCTGAGGAGGGGCAGCTAGGTGGCGCAGTGGATAGAGCACCAGTCCGAGAGTCAGGAGGACCTGAGTTCAAATTCAGCCTCAGACACATAACACTCATGAGCTGTGTGACTCTGGGCAAGTCACTTAACCCCAATTGCCTCACCAAAAAAAAAAACAAACCAAAAAAACAAAATTGCTGAGGACCTCAAAGAGCTTTAGTTTATGTGAGTTTATAGCTCTCAATATTTACTGTACTAGAAGTTAGAACATAAAATTTTTAAATGTTTTTAATTCATTTAAAAATAACATTAATAAACCCATTTAATATAGGAATAAAAATTTTATGAAAAATAGCTACATTTTCAAAGAGTGGCATTGTTTTATATATTTTTGCAAATCTCTTTAATGTCTGGCTTAATAGAAGACAGGTAGATTCCCATATCTGCCTCTACATTCAACTTGTTGAAATACATTGTTTCAGTTGAAGTATATAAAGAAAATCTGCCCTCACAGAGATGTGTAGTTGACAAATAAGGGAACGAGTATTTTAATGGGAGAGTGGGAAGGGAACAAGCATTTATTAAGCACCTAAAGGCTAGGCACTCTACTAAGCTCTTTATAAATACTGCCTCATTCAATCATCACAACAACCCAAAGAGTTGGGTGCTATTATTATCCCCTTTTTAGAGATGAGGACACTGAGGGAAACAGAGGGTAAGTGATTTTGCCTGAAGTCACACAGCTAGGAAGTGTCTAAAACCAAATTTGAATTCAGGTCTTCCTGACTCCAGGCCTGGCCCAACACTCTAACCACTGTTCCACTGAGCTGGTCTTATTATTATTATAAAAATATGGATCCCCAACCACACTTTGAGGACTACTGTGCCTGAAAGCAACATTCTAACTTGTATCCATCCTGACTGTCCATTTTTAGGGAGGAAAAAGTCCAATTAATAAGTTCCTCTAATCTATCAGGTGATCTAAATTCAAGAGCAGTTTTAATGTTTCTAGATTTGCAAAAGATAAAAACCACAGCAAAATCAAGCACAAACTTCAAGGAAGAGATAATGTTGAGAGGAAATAATAAAACCCACTGAACTCCAAAAAACCATGAAAAAAAAAAGCATTAAAATCACCCAGGGGAAAGGTGGACTAATGTATCTTTTTAGGTGGAAAAAAAGAACTCTGTGGCCTTTCTGGAGGGGGAAAAAAACCCACCAAAACTTATAAATAACATTGTAGCATTTGAATGCACTATAATTCAAATGTCTGATATTGTTCATATTAAGTGGAGGCCACAGAAAAAATAGTGAGGGAAATGGAGAGGAGGAGGAGAAGAAGGGCAAATGACAATATTTTCTTAGACTGGGGCTAATATATCATTAATTTAGAGCTAAAAGTAACCTGAGAATTCATTCATTTTACACATGAAGTAACTAAGAACAGAGAGGTAAAATGACATGTGTATATAAGTGTATAAAAGTGTTACCTACTCCCTAACCCCCAATTTAGGGGAAAGAACAGATGTGGAACTGAGACCATATCATTTTTCCCCAGGTTTTTTTAAGTGATTCCTAGCTATATATTTGCAGTAATACTATTTTTTTTTTGGTTTGTATTTATGGTTAAAAGAAAAAGTGTAGATTATAGGATTTATCGCTAAAGCAGAGGGTCCCAGCATGGACTAGGCAATACTGATCACTCTAAAATAAGGACTGGTAAATCACCACTGACCCTTCTCAGCCCCAGAATGAGAATAAGGGATCAAATTAAGTAACCCATGTAAAGTTCTTTGCAAACCTTAAAGTGCTACATAAATGCTAGCTATTATTCTAGTTATTATCTACTCTTTATTGGTTCTAGAGAGCATCTACTCTCTATTGGTTCTACAATGAAGTGGAAGCCTGGGGCTGGCCCAGAAGGAGAGAGAAGGATAGATGGAAATACCATACATTGGACCACATATGGGAGGGCAGACCTTGAGATGCTGTGAGGGCAAATGTCTGCCGGTGGAAGAAAGAATTTCACAATAATTCATCCAACTAGTTGACGATTTGAAGCGGGGGGGGCCGTGGAAGGGTCCAAGGTTAGAGAGGTCCCAAGGACAGGGAAACCATGGAAAATGCCAAATTTGAAACCAAAGGGACACAATCCAACCAATCAATAAGCATTTATTAAAAGCTTACTTACTATGTGCCAAATACCGGGCTAAGCACAAGGGAAATAAAAGATAAGCAGAAACAATCTTTGCTTTCAGGGGACTCACATTCTACCAGGGGAGACAACATATATAAATCAGAACAGGCAAATTCCAGAGTAGATGCAAAATAACCTTAGCACAACAAAGAGTCTTAAAGGGCCTGGAATTCAAAGAGTCTGTGTTTGGGAAGGACAGCATTCCAGGCAGGAGCACAGATGATGCACAACCATAACAATCAGACAGAGGAAGGGCTGCTTTTGAGGAACAAGAAGGAAAGGAGGCAGTCAGATAGTGTAGAAGCTAGAGCACTGGACTTGGGAGTCAGAAAGACCTGGTTTCAAATCCTTCCTCATACACCATCTGTCTTATGAACCTGGGAAAGTTACTAAGCACCTTGGAGGGGGCAGGGGGACAGAAGGTCTAGACTCCATGATACATACCACTGGCGCCAGATATAATCATTTTATTAGAAAAAATATATACAATATCCACTTATTTTTTCCTAATATCACCTTAAAAATGGCTGTAAATGACATTAAGATAGAATTATCTTTCTTACCTGTTTCCATTTTCTACCACATTTAATTAAAAAATCAAAATTGTTTTTCTGTTTGTTTGTTCAAATTTTTTGTTTCATGAGTTTTCATCTAAAAATGTCAACTGAGAAATGAAGGAGAAAACCCTCTCCTACTTTTATGAAGATGTGGGGGACCAATGGGTACAGAACATTGCAAATACTTTCAGAGTTGGCTAATAAGCTGGTTAGTTTTGCTGAAATGCTTTTTCCCTACTTGCTTTTTTGAGCTTTGTTATGAGAAAATGATTTTCTGGACTTGGAGGTGGGGAGAAGAGAATATGGATGGATATATTTGCAAATTAATGTGCTACTTAAAAAGATATTAATATAGTTTTAAAATAAAATTAAAATCTGCAAGCACATTATGCAGTTATACCACAGGAAACTGAGAAATTGCTATATG